GTGGGCAAAAGACATGAGTAGACACTTCTCAAAAGAAGATATACAGGCAGCCAACAGACACATGAAAAAGTGCTCAGCCTCACTCATCATCAGAGAAAGGCGAATCAAAACCACACTGAGATACCACCTGACCCCTGTAAGAATGGCCATCATTAATAAAACAAACAACAACAGATGCTGGTGAGGATGTAGAGAAAAAGGAACGCTTCTACACTGCTGGTGGAAATGCATACTAGTACAACCTTTTTGGAAGACAGTGTGGTGATTTCTGAAGGAACTAGAAATCGATCTTCTATATGACCCAGCAATTCCCCTATTGGGAATATACCTGGAGGAACTCAAATTAGTCTATGAAAAAGATACCTGTACACGTATGTTTGTTGTAGCTCTCTTCACAATAGCAAAAACATGGAACCAACCATGTTGCCCATCGAAGTTGAACTGGATAAAAAATGTGGTACATATATACAATGGAATATTATGCAGCCATAAAGAAGGACAAATATATGAACTTTGCAGCAAATTGGATGGATTTGGAGTCTATCATACTCAGTGATTTATCACAGAAACAAAGAACTGAGTTCCATATGTTCTCACTCATAAGGTGACCTTGAACAATTATAGTGCTGTGGGAAGGCGACTGGCAGTAGCGGAAAATTGTCAGGGGGAGGGGGGTTGGGCCTGGCAGTTGAGGGAAACTGCTAGGGGAGGGAGGGGCATACCTCATCAACAAGGGTATATGCATGATCAATGTTTGTATACCTAACCCTGAATTGTACTCCACATCTTTATAATAAATAAATACATTTAAAAATAAATAAATAAATAAATAAAACATAACACCTCAATAAAAAATTTAAAAAAAAAATAAGCTGTTCAGGTGACTTATATGTATGCTAAAGCTTGAGAACAACTAGTCTACAGGAGTACTTCACATACAAATCACCTGGGAATTTTATTAAACTGCAGGTTCATCGTTAATAAAACAATAACAGATGCTGACAAGGATGGGGAGAAAAAGGAATGCCTGTACACTGCTGGTGGGAATGCAAACTGGTGTAACGTCTTTGAAGACAGTGTGAGTGTGGCGATTTCTGAAAGAACTAGAAATTTGACCTTCCATGTGACCCAGCAATCCCCCTATTGGGAATATACCCAGAGGAACTCAAATCATTCTATAAAAAAGTACCAGCACATGCATGTTTGTTGCAGCTGTATTCACAATAGCAAAAATATGGAACCAACCACGCTGCCCATAAAAGCTAGACTGGATAAAAAAATGTGGTACATATATATGATGGAATATTACACAGCTATAAAGAAGGACAAAATTATGGACTTCACAGCAACTTGGATGGATTTAGAGTCGATCATACTCAGTGATTATCACAGAAACAAAGAACAGAGTACCATATGTTCTCACTCATAAGCGGACCTTGAACAATTATAATACTATAAGAAAGGGATTGGCAGTAGTGGGAAATTGCCAGGGAAGGAGGGGTGGGATTGGCAGTTGAGGGAAACTGCCAGGGGAGGGAGGAGCACACCTCATCAACAAGGGTACCTGCATAACAAACATTTGTATACCCAACCCTGAATTGTACCCCACATCTTAAAAAAGAAAACAAAAAAAACCCCTGCAGATTCTAAAACATAGCTCCAATGTTTTAGACAGGGTTGAGAACCCCCTGATTTTAAAGTGACCCTGACCCACTCCAGATCAATTAAACCACTCTCTGAACATATGACCCAGGCATCAGTATGTTTTAAAAGTTATCCAGGCTGGGCTCGGTGGCTCAGCCTGTAATCCCACACTTTGGGAGGCTGAGGTGAGTGAACTGCCTGAGCCCGTGGGTTCGAGACCCACCTGGACAATTTGGCGAGACCTCATCTGTACAATAAATCAAAAAAATTAGCCAGGCATGGTAGCGTGCGCCTGTAGTTCCAGCTACTTGGAAGGCTGAGCAGAAGGATGGCCGGAGCCCAGCAGGTCAAGGCTGTGGTGGCCGGGAGCAGCCACTGCACTCTAGTCCGGGTGACTGAGTGAGACTTCAACTCAAAAAAAAAGAAATTAAAAAAAAAAGTTATCCAGATGATTCTCATATGTATGTGTCAAGGATTAAGAAACTACTGACAGGGCAACCCCTTCGGGTCCCCTCCCAATGTGGGAGATTTTCTGTCCTCTCAATAAATCCTGCTTTCACAAAAAAAAAGAAAGAAAAAAGAAAAGAAACCACTGACAGAGAAAAATGTTAGCGTCTCTCCAGTTCTAAAACATTACTTGTAGAAGCAAAACTTTTAAAACTATATTGGCTGGGCACAGTGGCTCACACCTGTAATCCCAACACTTTGGGAGGCTGAGGCTGAAGGATTGCTTGAGACCAGGAGTCAGAGACCAGCCTGGGCAATATAGTGAGACCTTGTCTCTAGAAAAAATAAAAATATTAGCCGGTTGTGGTGGCACGCACCTGTAGTCCCAGCTACTCAGGGAACTGAAATGAAAAGATAGCCTGGGCTCAAGAGGTTGAGGTTTCAGTGACGGAGTTAGAATCTCACCCCCACAAAAAAACAAAACTACATTATACATCTTCCCGCCTTTTCAAATAAGACATCTTGAACACAAAGCAATCTTTCAAGGAGACTGTGTGACTACAGTCAATAACAGTTAACATTATGTGACACCTTTCTACTAAGATTAATAAGATTCCTTACTATAAAAATGCAAATGTTACAGTTATTGCATCTCTGTGCCAAAGTTTGTAGGATTATTCATTTCTCCTCATAAAGTTAGCTAACTTTTCTTCCCTTGTTGGACTTTTCCCTTAAATTTTTGTGCTATTTTATTCTTCTCCATATGAAAGAATACACATGACTTCTTATTCTGCTATTGCTACTTCTCACTCACCCATTCAATTTATACTTCCTAAGCAACTATTATGTGACAGGCCCTCTTCTAGGCACTGGGGATGAGCACTTAAAAGAAAAGTCCTTTATGTTTTAATAGGAGGTAAAAGACAAGAGGCAGATAAATCACATGGTCATGAGAAGAGCAAAGCAAAATAAAGCGGGGCAAAAGGCACAGGTAGTGACGGAGGGCGTGTGTGCTATTCTACATACGTGTACTCATATGAAGGCGTCAAGAATAAACTCTCTGATTAAGTGGCACTTGAGCAGACACCTGAAGGAAGCGAGGGGGCAAGGCTCTCGGGCAGAAAAGTGCTCCAAGCACAATGAACAGCAAGTGCTAAGCCCTGGGGTTTTTGCTTGGTGTCTTCAAAGAAGAGCAAAGAGACCAGTATGGTTGGAATGGAGTCAGAGAAGAGTGGCAGGAAATGAGGTCAGGGGTTAGTGGGGCCTTGTACAGCTATGTAAAGACTTTGGCTTTTATTCTGAGAGAAAAGACCACTGGAGAATTTTGATGAGTTACAGATGAGTTACGTGATTATGTATTTTTGAAGGATCACTTTGGTTGCTTGGTAGAGAACAGACTGTAGGTTTTCTTAGTTCCTAAATGTTGCAGCCTGTACACTAGCAACAGTAACAACGAAGCTTACCATGAGACTTAAGTATCAGTGTACAGACACTCAAGCATAGATATTTTACTAGGAACTTGACAAAGATCAAATCATCAATGTACACACTACCTGGATCTCATGTATCTGTGGAACACAAGACTTAGGTCTTAGTGGCAAGAGGGTTGGCATTTGTGGGAAAGGATCAATATCCTTCCTTGGTTTCTCTTGGCGGAGGTGCCAGAATTTCAGTTCAGCACTAGCATGCTTTGTTGAGGCTGAATGAGTAACACAGAATCTTGGTGCCCTGTTTATTGAAAAGATAAATTTAACACAGAACTTGACAATAAGCCTCAAAAGTCAAAGTTTACAAAATATATAATAGCTGTGCTCACAATTATCAGTCTTGCTAAACTCCTTTTCTAATAACTTCTTTTTCTGCTGCTCAGACTTAAAACAATTTTTCTTTGATATATCAACTGCCTGCAATCCCAATTGCTCATATAAAAAGGCAATATACATTAGGAAAAAAATAAGTAAAATTGCATTCAAATTATCTGCTTGATAAGAAGAAACCTATATATCTGTTGAGAAAAAAATTTTTTTAAATAACATTGTTTCTAGTAAGATAAACATAAAATGTACTTGTGATTATTTTAAAGCAGTGTAGTATTTATTTATAGTATCAGCTAAAAATTGGTAGAATAAAATTAACATTTAAAACAAACATTTTTATAATGCTTAAGTATGCTACTAAAGAACGTTATGATTTATATTATTTCTTTTCGAGCCTTATATTTGAAGGCAAGATTTAATTTTACAACCATTTATATAAATGAAAGACCAACACTACTGCCAGAACCTTATGAATAAGAATGTCTGGCACAATATCAAGGCCACACTTAATTGGATGGATATCCTGATATTCAGTATGTGGTCTAACTCTTTATTGGATATGGGTTTAACTCCAGCTGTAAGGGTCTGCTGCTAATTGAACCACATTTTCCTTTTGATGCCACAGCCCAAGGACTAATTCCTCTTCCATATTTCAGGACCTGATAGAAAATTGTTTCCCTTTAAAACTGCAAGAAGTGGCCAGAAATGGTGGCTCACACCTGTAATCCCAGCCCCTTTGGGTGGCCAAGGCAGGAGGACTGCTTGAGCCCAGGAGTTTGAGACCAGCTGAGGTAATGCAGCCAAAACTTCATCTCTACAAAAAAAATTTTTTTTTAAATTAGCCAGGGTGGTAGCACTCCTGCAGTCCCAAATACTTGGTGAGGGGGGCAGAAGAATTGCCAGAGCCCAGGAGGTTGAGGCCGTGGTGAACTGTAATTGTGCCACTGCACTCCAGCCTGGGCAACAGATTGAGACCTTCCCACCTTAATACATACATACATACATGCATACATACATATATACATACATACAATAGGAAGAAGGTAGATATCCTTCCTGATGTGAACACAGATTGGGAGTAGAAGAGAATCTAAAGTCTATCATTAGGTTGGGGTCAGAAAGCATTCTGGTCTCTTTTTTCTTTTTAATTTAATTTGATTTTAGATTTAGGGAAACAAGTGCATGTTTGTTACACAGACATATTGTGTAGCAGTGGGGATTGGGTTTCAGGTGTCCCATTCTCCAGATAGTGAACATTATAACCAATAAGTCATTTCTGAACTCTAATCTCACATCCCCATTTCCTAGTGTCCCCATTGTCTATTATTTCCACCTTCATGGTCATTTAGTATAGATAGCCGTGGTCATTCTATACTATATTTCAGAACTTTTACTTGTATAGGAAATATTCAAAATTATTTCTTATTTGCATGCCAGCCAGTAAGTGGAAATATCTATAAGACTCTTATCAAATTGAGGTGCCTCAGTTTTCTGGTTCATATCATTAGAGTGTATTCACATGACTTTGTAAGTCCCTGCTGCCTTTACCATTTTAATTTTACACTCTTATTTCATTCATATAGCATTAATCTTTGATTAGCCACTACATGAATTCATCAAATATTATGGTGTACCTCACAGTTAATCCTAAACTGGTATTATATTATTTTGATGGCTTTCATTACACAAGTTCTAATGTAAATGGATTGTATACATTTTGTTTTCTTTAAGAGATGAGGTCTCGCTGTGTTGCCTAGGCTAGTCTTGAACTCCTGGGCTCAAGCATTCCTTTTGCCTCGGTCTCCAAAAGAGCTGGGATTACAGGCATGAGCCACCACACCTGGCCTGATTTTAATTTTCAAGATCTAGTTAGTAGGAAAGATGTTTGCCACATAACTACCAAGGACCTGTATTCAATACATGTGTGTACATGTATATGTGAGTATAACCAGTGGTAATAGCTGAAAACTGAAAACAACCCTAATGTCCTTCAATGGATGGATGAATAAATATAGTACATCTATGCAATGGAATTTTACTTAGCAATAAAAAGGAACAAACTGTTGATGTACACAACAACCTGGATGGATCTCAAGGGAATTATGCTGAATTTAAAAAGATAACAACAAAAGATTACAAATTATATAACTTCATTTATTAGTGGTTTCCAGTAGTTAGGAATGGGGGAATGAGGAGAAGGAGAGGCAGGTGTGGTTATGAGAGAGTAGCACAAGGGATATCTGTAGTAATGTAACTGTTCTGCATCTCGATTGTGATAGCAAATGCATGAATTATAAAGTGATAAAGTGACAGACTGAAATACACACACAATTGAGTGCATGTAAAACTAGTGTAATAAGAAAAAAGATCAGTAAATTGTGTCAATGTCAATTTCCTCATTGTGATATGTATTATAGTTATGCAAGATGTTACTATGGGTGAAAACTATAAGAGGCACACAGTAGCTTTTTGTATTACTTCTTATAACTATATAAATCCACAATTATCTCAAAACAAAAGCTTTAACTAAAAAAGGAAACATTGCTGTATCGGCAATGTTTTATTAAACTAAATGTTTTATTAAGTTGGGTGGTATATACATAGGTACTCAAGTATGATTTATACCTTTCTGTATGTCTTAAATATCTAAGAATAAAATTCCTTAAAGAAAGAGAATAACAGCGTTCCATATAAATGGAAAAGTACAAAATAAAAAAGTAATTTGGAATCCCTAGATGGAAAATGATGCCAGAGAGTGGGAAGAGAATAAATCATGATGACCTTATCTGCTACTTGGAGGAATCTGAACTTTAAATTGAAGGCGTTGGGGTAACCAGTGAAAGAATTGAAGCAAAGAAGCCACATGATCAGGTCTGTTACAGTCACAGTGGACAACTCGCAGATCTTCAAACGTCACTTTTTCCATTATGCCGATCCTCTTTCCCTTGCTTCAAGTCCCTTGAGCCTCAGGGGAAATATGACCTTTTATTGGTGTCCTGTGCATTCCCCACACTTCCTTTGACTATCCTACTTCAAACCTGATGTTCTTCCCATCATATGAAGACCACTAGACTTGACCATGTTTCCATGTATCCTTAGTGCAAAACTTGGCATATAGGAAATACTCAAAAAACATTTATTGGGATAAAAATCTGTAACTCTAGCTACATGGACACATATACCTACACACACACATACACACACACACACACACACACACACACACACACACACACTAATTTTATGGGATACGGGTCATAAAAAGGTCAGGTGTAGAAAGATGTATTCACAATGTTAAAGGGAACTCAAATATTGTCTAGCCTTATTGTGGATTTAAAGTCACCCAAATATCCAAATTATTCAAAGGATAATAAGTACCTTAAGGAAAGCCCATGATATAATAATCCTGTCATTTTAGATTTCCATAAGTTATATATCCATAAAAGTACAACTTATAACTAGCCTGAGAAAAGTGAAGTAACTTTGTCTCATGTTATTTTTCTTACCAATATAGAAGTAAAGGTTTTACAACCTCAAACTGAATGTCTTTTAAATGCTCGTCAGTCCACCGAGATCCATCTAACAGTTTAAATTTTGATAAGATTTCTGCAGAAAGGTAGTAATCTCCACTGCTCACTAGATAGCATTTTTTCATCTTCTCAAGATGTCTGAAAGAAAATACATATCCACATACGTTGATAGAACATTCAACTACCAAAATGTTTTCACTTCTAAAATGTTTCAGACAAGTAATGAGCTATCCTAAAAATGACACTGAGCTTCAGGGGTAGCAAACATTTTTGTGGAGATACCAAACATGCTGTGGGACCAATTTCAGTGGTCCCAATGTAATCACAAGGATCCTTTTAAGAGGGGAGCAGGAGGGTCAGACTCAGAGAGAAAAGATGTAAGGACAGGGCAGAGAGGTCAGAGAGAGGATGCTATGATGGGGGCTCTGAAGATGGAGTAAGGGACCATGAACAAGGAAGACAGGTGGCCTTCATAAATTGGAAAAGGCAAATAAACGAATCCCCTCCAGGGCCTTATGACTTCCAGAACTGTAAGAGAATAAATTAAACTGTGTTGCTTTAAGTCACTAAATTTGTAGCAATTTATTGTAGCAACAATGGCAACTACAGTGTTGATCCTGAAAAACCTACGTAGGTTATTTGCATATGTCTTGAAAAGTGGTAATGACCTTCTACTCCATCATCAATCCCGCCATGTTTCATCATCAACCACTTGGTGACCCCCTTCTCTTACAGCTAGGCACAACAATAACCTCTATGATCTGAATGCCATTAAAATAATTGAAATAGCTCACTCACTAATGTATAGACTCAGTCAAATCTTTCATGGAAACTGCAATCTACTATAGTCGATCTACTTCAAAGCAGATGAAGAAAATAAAGCCAAGATAATAACTTTTCCTAAAATAGGGTCCTCTTAAGGTTCTTAGACATATAGGAATCTGAAACATATGGAGCCAACCAAAGGAAGATCTAAGCCCCATCAGACCTCCAAAGGGTTCCCTAGCACAGGGGTTCCTAACCCCCAGTCGCAGACTGGTGGCCTGTAAGAAACCGGGCTGCACAGCGAGAGAAGAGCGGCAGCCGGCGAGGCTCCGCCTCCTGCCAAATCAGCCTCAGCGTTAGACTTCCATAGGAGTGGGGACTCTTAAGAACTCCACATCTGACATTTTACCTAATTTCCCCAACAATCTTACAAAGTAAATGTGGGTTTCCCATCATATATAAAGAAACTGAAAGTTAAGCTAAAAGCAGAACAAGAGTTTGAACCCAAACATCTGAGTCAAAAGCCTGTGACTGTAACCACATTACGTATGTAACCCATCTGTTTCCATGTTTTCACAGGTTCTCTGTTTCCTCTCTTACAATAAAATCTGATTCATCAAAAAAAAAAAAAAGAACTGTGGCAGGGCTCGGTGGCTCAGCCTGTAATCCCGCGCCTTTGGGAGGCTGAGGTGAGTGGATTGCCTGAGCCAGCGGGTTCGAGACCCGCCTGGGCAGCGAGACCTCATCTCTACAATAAAAAAAAAATCAGCCGGGCGTGGTAGAGCGCCTGTAATTCCGGCAACTTGGAAGGCTGAGGCGGAAGGATCATCGGAGCCCAGCAAGTCGAGGCTGCGGTGGCCGGGAGCGGCCACTGCACTCCAGTCTGGGCGACAGAGTGAGACTCCAACTCAAAAAAAAAAAAAAAAGAACTGTGCATGCGAAGGATCCAGGTTGTCAGATCCTTATGAGAATCTAATGCCTGATGAACTCCTCTCTGTGGAAAAACTGTCTGCCACAAAACCAGTCCCTGATGCCAAAAAGTTGGGGACCACTGCTCTAGCAGACATATCCAGATATCCAGCTGCATGGTGACCAACCAAACATCATGAAATTTGTTCACCAAGTAGGCTGCTGGGAACAGCAGGTATCTTATGCTAATACGGTTTTATAACTGACAAATCATTTTATTCTAAAAAAAGTCTATATCATTGGAATGTTATAAAAACTAAAACAGAATAATTAATTTGGAAGTAGGTTCCAGAATTTATGAGAAGAAACATTATGCAAACCCAAATAATTGCTATTATTAATATCTGAAAACAATGAAATCAAAATATTTACTATTATAATAAAATACATTTATTATTCATCCTTCCAAGAGTATAAATTACATTTTTATATTTGTTTCAGACTTTCTGCTTTGCTTAAATAACTCAATCTAATATTCTATAATTTGTTTGTTAAACTGTTAGGAAAAAAAATAGAATACCTTTGATGTCTTCCAGGGTCCTTAAGAACTTTTAACCTCTCAATATCCATCCATAGCCACCAATATCTCTCTCCTAATGTACCTTTTATAAATTTCTTAAATCTTTCAAACTCCTTTCTATTGCCAATGTCGTAAGTTCTATGAGAAATGCACCAGTCAGCTCTGCTCTCTGGTCCAGCGCTATCACTCTTTGAACTTAAACTTGCTTGTTCTAATGCCTTTTCTGCCCTTTCCTTTGCATTTTGAACTGATTCACTTAAAAACTTCTTGCCAGTGATAGACTTAAGACCATCATCAAGCAACACTTGTGTTACATTGTTAAAGTTTATATGATCTGGGAATTCTCTTAATGGCTCTCCAGTAATTTGCTGAACTGCTCTTCTAAAAATAAAGTATATATAAGAGTTTAAAAACTCTTCAGTTGTTGAGAAATGCATTGTTTGGCTTTCATCAACATCCTGTTGCTTTTCAAGGTATATTCTCAGAAGAGCTTGAGAAGGAGTGTCTTGCAAAGATATGGATCCTTCTTCTTCTTCTTCTTCTTCTTCCTCAAATTCAGAAATTAATTTAGTTGTTTTACATGGGTCCTTTTTTGTCCGGGGATGAACTCCATCATCAAAGATAAAACTCTCTGTATTAAGTCATAAAAGTTTATTAGGTTAGATAGGACTATAACACTTTTTTATTATTAAATAGATGCTAGGCCAGGCATGGTGGTTCAAGCCTGTAATCCCAGCACTTAGGGAGGCCAAGGCGAGAGGATTGCCTGAGTTTGCGCATTCAAGACCAGCCTAGGCAACATGGTGAGACCTCATCTCTACAATAAAAAATCAAAAAATTAGCCGGACGTGGTAGCGCATGCCTGTAGTTCCGGCTACTTGGAATGATCACCTAAGCCTAGCAGGTCAACAGTGGGGTGGCCGAGAGCCCGGGTGATGGAGTGAGACTCCAACTCAAAAACACATAAATAAAAAACAAACAAATAAATAGATGTTACGGAGCCAGAACGGAAAATGGGTTTACTACATGAAGCGACTGCATGGATCAGTATCTTAAGGATTTTGAACCCACATTTGGAACTGGTAGAAAAAAAGGAAAAGAAAAAACTGCTAGCAGGGATTAATCTTGCGTTCCCTGGACACGGAGGTAAAGAAAGGTGACAGATGGACCAAATATTTGACGTCCCTAACACAGCGGATATCCAAAAAACATTAAACACTTTTAAAATATAATATTGTAGACTAATATATAATGTCAATACAGAAGGGCCAAATTTATTAAGAAATCAGAACATGTATACTAAATGACTGTATATACTTTGATATTTCATATTGTATGATAAATTACCTACCATAGATGATGAGACCATAAATTAACAGACCAGAACTGGAGTCAATATCAGCAATTTTTAAAATTTTTAAAATCAAAAAGATTCAATTACTATCATACTTCTAAGTCTATTAAAGTTGCAAAATGGGCTGGGCTTGGTGGCTCAGCCTGTAATCCCAGCAGTTTGGGAGGCCGACAGAATAGACAGGTTCGAGACCAGCCCAGGCAATTTGGCGAGACCACATCTCTACAATAAATCAAAAATTAGCTTGGCACAGTAGCGTGCGCCTATAGTTTCAGCTACTTGGAAGGTTGAGGCAGAAGGATCACCGGAATGCCAGCCTAGGTGATGGAGTGAGACTCCAACTCAAAAAAAAAAGTTGCAAGAAGTCATAAGGTACTTATGAAGACTTACAAATGGATTATTTGTACCCGTTTTCTAAATATATAGTGTTTAGCTCCTATTTTCTCCTTCTTTCAGAAATCAGTGAAACATCTGATGTTAGTGCTTTAACCCTTGACTTGCCACAAATAAGGTAACTGTTGTCATCTGTGGCCCACCCTCAATGATAATTTTAGTATGTACCATTATTCTAATCTTACAGATGAGGAAAGCAAGGTTCCCAGAAATGAACTGGTTCATCAAACACCACACAGCTAATAGTTATCAGAGTTGGGTTCCAAATCCATCCTCTCAAAAAACAGTAGGAATTATAGGGGAAAGGGGTGTGTGGATAATTTTCTCTTCCCAACCAGTAAATGATATACTGTAAAATTAGAACAAAAAGGCAAAAACGTAAAGAGCTCTGAATTCATTCTTGGCAATTTCTGCTTACCAGAAACAGATGAAAGAACTGGTGATTTAACTTTGTTGTGTGGTATACAACAGGGTAATGAAAAGGTTGATACAATTTGCTGACTTTGTTTTGCTAATGCAAACCAATCTTTTGTTTGAGTATAGGAGGCCTAGGAAGAAAGGAGCATATTAGTTTAACCTAAGATTGGCGGTATTCTTCCAATCACAAACTTAGACAAGTCATTATAATATTCAATGTGTGCAGTACAATATATAAAGAAGAAACGATCTCATGAAAGAAAACAAAGTTGAACTTATATAAATTAATTAGCTAAGGGGATAATAGGAAAGAAATTTCGATACAGATATTTTTTCATCTTTGATAATCAAAGGAACAAAATGAGTCCAAAACCTATCAAATTCTCCACTCTTACTGGATCTACTACAAATTCATATCATCTGGCTTCAACTTGACATAGCTCATCAATCCTTTGATGCATTTTTGCTAGCTGCTCCCATTTGCAACTTTCCCAATTATTTCATGTCCCCCATTCTGTCTGACTTGGCTCAGTGTTTTTAACAACTCCTCCCCGAGTATAACAGAGACTCTACTCTTAGTACTACTGGAAACCTTTGCAAGTTCAGCCTCTCTTTGCCTGAAGTTCAGTTTTCACTACTTCGCTTGGATTGGATGCTTCCAGAAGACAGATTTCTGACTCCATATGCCACTGGATGCAGTCTTCCATTTTTTCTTTGTTTTGTGTACCCCTGAACCAGCCAGCCTAGTCCCAAAACTGATCCTTAGCTTCTAGAACCCTATCCCTATGACGCTCCTATCCCAGTCTTCCTGGGAAAATTCTTCTGCCAGCTTCTCTCAGTAATGTTCTCTCCTACTTTTCCTAGAGAATCAAAATTGCTCAACAGGAGAAGAGAAGGGAGTGTCCAGCATTCCTCTCATTTCTCATTTTTCCTTTCTCCAACTGAGTCAGCAGGATGGTTGGTTGGCACTTAGCCTAAAGAACACTTACAGAAGAGGTGGCCTAAATGGAAGAGATATTATTCCTTATCTGTCATGTAAAATTAACAGGAAAAATCAGCCCACACCATGAGACCAAAGTGAAAGAGAAATGAGAGGTGGCATCTGCACAATCACTGCCCCTCTTAGAGGTAAGGTGTCCTGGGTGTATAAAAGCTTTGAGAGACTCTAGATCACTTTTGTTCGCTCTTTCCTTTAAAACCAAGTTAAATATTATTATTTCATTATTATTATTTTTTAAGCCAGGGTCTCACTCTGCTGCCTAAGCTGGAGTGCAGTGGCACATTCCTGGCTCACCTCAGTCTCCAACTCCTGGGCTCAAGCAGTCCTCCTGCTTCAGCCTCCCAAGTAGCTGGGATTACAAGTGTACCGAACTATGCCCAGCAATATTTTAAAATTTTTTTAGAGACAAGGTCTCACTATGTTTTCCAGGTTGGTCTTGAACTCTTGGGCTCAAGTGATCTGCCCAACTCTGCCTCCCAAAGTGCTAGGATTGCTGATGTAAGCCACCATGCCCAGCGCAAGTTATTTATTATTAATTATATGTTTATCCAACATATATGCATTGAGTGACTACTTTTTTACAAGTAATAGCCTAAGCAGTGACAGGAGACCAAAATAATTAAGTAGCATTCACAGAATTGACAGGGACCAAAATATAAAGTGTTCTTGCTATTTCAACTGCACAAAATAAATAAATAAGTACAAGAGAGAAGAAAAATGTGCCATCAATATCTCACTAAGCATTATTCAGTGGAAATAATGGAATTGGCATAATTTTAAACATTTTTGACAAATATTGCTGATAGAAATGTCAAGCTATAAAATTAATAGTAACTATACATGAAAAAAATTCAAGTAGTATAGGTCTATCCATTCCAACACAGATGGCAAAGAGGTTTCCTCTTGTATGACATCTTTGACCAATTGGAAGTGCTTGTCTAGAAAACGGTGTCGAGAAGAATTTGGAGCCAAGTCCTAGCTCAGCAGAAAAATTTCCACATTGATTAACAGTGTCTGTCATAGATAAACATACATATTTGCTATTCCCGTTTTTGTGTAGAATTGTGTATTGGAAGTGTACAGAAATAAGATCTGATAATTAGAGGCCAAAGATCAAACAACAGTTTTCACTATATTGTGACTCTCCCAAAGGACATTTGATTCTTCAAGTGCACCCACACACCCCCATGTCTCACCAATCATGAAGGACAAACTATCTGACAACATTTTAACAAGATAGTAATACATTTTACTACTAAGTAATAATCTAGACAACAGGGAGGAGAAGACCCAATTTATCATCTTTTTGTACAAAAGTAATAGAATCCAAATAGTTAAGAACTTTGGAACGAACAACGAAACCATGGATATAATTCAAGTTACCCTTGCTTCCCAGGTGACACAGCATGCTCTTCGACCTTGCTTTTTTCCTTCAGACACATGAAGATAATATTTCTGATTACATTTCATAATCAGAGCAAATGAGCCAGTATAAATCCGCAAGAATTATTGCTAAATCTGCTTTAAAAGAATTAGAAATCACTTTCCCAGTTCAAGTGATGCAAATGAAATGTGTGCTCCTAAAATGAGAAGGTTCAATGAAGTGCCAAATCATACACACACACACACACACACACACACACACACACACACACACACAAAACACTCATACTTTTACCTCGCCAAGAGAAATGTAGAACTTTTTCATAATCATAAGATTATCTTCTTCTTCAGTGGCAGGAGGTGGCAGACTGGGTGGTTTTTTCAGGACCCAGGGAGAAAAATGTGTACCTACTGTGAAATTCACGCCTGACTTGCTCCATCTTACTTGTGAGACCAGTTTGGCCAACCTGCATTTTAGAAATCATACCATTTTAAAAATAAGTTTCAAATATGGTAGAATTCAGGAAAAAAAACACTAAAGTTTAATTTTATGTATTCAAGTCAATCTCCCTTCCTCACTCTGCAGGATGATTCTCTTTGCCTCTGCTAAAACATAATGGTTTATTTGTAAAACTACTAATTAGTTAATAATTATTCTGTTTTAATTTGTTTTCACTTAAAAATGGTTGTTCTGGGTAAAGGTCAAAGTTAAGGTGCTTACACTTTAAAAGTCAGGGAACATAAAGGAAAAACTTGACCCTGTACTATGGTATTCTGTCTTTTTCATGTCACACGGATAATCATTTTTAAACACCTTACACATAAATACCATTTTCACCAATAGATGATTTTTAAAATATAATGACCAAATAGATACACTGAACTACATCTCTTTGGAAAAACTGAGTGATTTTTATTGAAGTTTTATCACTCTTATTCCATGCAGGTGAGATCCAAACTCTAATGTGTCAAAAGGCATATTTACAGTTTTACCAAAAAGAAATCACAGGAAAAAAATTTAATGTTAAAAAATAGGCATTGAAAATAGGTATATTAATGGGACTACAGTACCTGTATTCAAAGTAGCAATCACTTTCCAAAAATGCTGGAAGTCTTTCTTTTTTGATCCACTTAATACCTTGCTCACGACTGAGACACTATTAGAAGAAAGTAAAAAGAGAAAAAGGATGTCAAAGAAAATCATTTTGGGAACAATTAAGGCCTCACCATGAGAGCAGTCCTGACCTCTAGCTATCAGTAGAGCCCTGCCCCTATACCCCCTATTTGTTCTAGAGAGATCAATAACCCTGAGCCATAAATGTGAGGCCACTCCTTGCCTCTGGTACAAAACATGAGGCCACTTCTTGCCTCTGGTATGTCTTTAACTCTCTTAACAACCCTGTGTCAACTATTATCTCCATTTCTGCAGATTTAACAACTTGAATCCAGAAAAGTTAAGTAACTTGCTGAAGGAGGAGGAATGAGATAAAAGCGAATGGGTCTCAGTAGTTTCACAAAATGGGTTAAAAGTACTCACAAGCAGAAAAAGAACCACCAGGAAAACTTAGTAAGGCCACCAAGGTTACTGCAGGCCCCTTGTTCTTCAAGTTTAAAATTTTTTTGTTGTTAAATAGTTAACATCCCCAGGCATTCTCCTGGAGAACACAAGGTTAACAATTACACTAGAGTGTTATAAGTGCCACAGTATAGGCTTCACGTGGGCACTAAACCAGGAGAGGTTTCCTCACAGATTAAGTTTTTTACTCTTTAACCTGAAGCAAGACTAGCTAGGTTGAGCAGGAAAGCAAGAGAGGAAAAATAAGTTTAGTAGTATTAACCCAGCATGGTGACCCACGCTTGTAATCTCAGCATTTTGGGAGGCTGAGGTGGGAGGATCACTTGAACCCAGGAGTTCAAGACCAGCCTGGGCAACATACTGAAACCCTGTCTCTACAAAAATGAAAAACAAAAAAATTAACTCGATATGTTGGCATATGCCTGTAGTCCCAGCTATTTGGAAGGCTGAAGTGGGAGGATCACTTGAGCCCAGGAGTTCAAAGTTGTAGTGAGTTATGATCAAGGCATTGCAGTCCAGCCTGAGTCACAGAGTGAAATCATGTCTCTTAGGAAAAAAATCTTAGTAAGATTAGGTCACAGGATGAGATTTGAGGGATAGAGGGAGGAAGGCTAAAGAAGCAGGAGGGGGTCTGGTTGTTGGAGGCCAGGCAAGGTGGTTTACGCCTATAATCCCAGCACTTTGGAAGGCTGAGGTGAGAGGATTACCTGAGCCCATGGGTTCAAAACCAACCCAGGCAACTTGGCAAGACTTCATTTCTACAATAAATCAAGAAAAATTAGCCGGGCGTGGCGGCGCATGCCTGTAGTTCCAGTTACATGGAAGGCTGAGGCGAAAGGATTGCCTGAGCCCAGCAGGTTGAAGCTGCAGTGGTTGTGAGCATGCCCTCCAGGCAGGGCATAGAGTGAGACTTTTACTCAAAAAAAAAAAAAGAATAAATAACATTAAGGAGTTTATGAGATGTGACAATTAAGTTTACAAACTTATCCTAGAAAAAGTAAAACATATCTCATTGCTGAATATTACTACGGTGATTATGGTCACCTCCAATGTACTCCTCTTGACTGGATTAAAAAAATGTGGTACACATACATGATAGAATATCACAGAACCATAAAGAAGAACAAAATGATGAACTTCACAGCAATTTGGATGGGCTTAGAGGCTATAATACTGATGAGTCATCTATCACAGAAACAAAGAACTGAGTATCACAAGTTCTCATAAGCAAACCTTGAACAATTATCATAATACAATAAGAAAAGGATTGATAGTAGTGGGAAACTGCTGGGGGGGTAGGGATTGGCAGTAGTGGGAATCTGCTGAGGGGGGCACACCTCATCAACAAGGGTACCTGCAAAATGAACATTTGTATACCTAACCCTGAATTGTACCTCACATCTTTAAAATAAAACATTTAAAACAAAAAACAAAGTACTCCTCTTGGGAAGCTATGCACGAGCACCAGTGCCTAGTCCACTCATCAAAGCAATTTTGGAATTCTTTTTCTGGAATGGCTGTAAGAGCTGTCATCGTATTACCCTGTATGTTATCAAAATGTCTTCTTTTCAATATTATCCTCTATCTTTAGGTAAAGAAAAAAGTCATTGGAGGCCAGATCAGGTGAGTTTGTTGTTTACCAGCTAAAACCTCCCTCACAGACAGTGCTGTATGAGTTGGTACATTGTCATGATGATGCAAGAGCTCTTTAGAACCATTTTTGCACACAGTTTTCTCATACCAAGATTTTCAGTTAAGATTTTCCTGTTCTCAGCCGGGTTCAGTGGCTCAGCCTGTAATCCCGCACTTTGGGAGGCTGAGGTGAGTGGATTGCCTGAGCCTGCGGGTTCGAGACCTGCCTGGGCAAATTGGCGAGACCTCATCTCTACAATAAATCAAAAAATTAGCCGGGCGTGGTAGCGCGTGCCTGTAGTTCCAGCTACTTGGAAGGCTGAGGCGGAAGGATCACCGGAGCCCAGGAGGTCGAGGCTGAAGTGGCTGGGAGCGGCCACTGCACCAGCCTGGGTCACAGAGTGAGACTCCAGCTCAAAAAAAAAAAAAAAGATTTTCCTGTTCTCTGTTGATGTTTATTTGATCTGCTGTGCTTCTCACAGTCAGTCAATGATTTTGATGCACAATTCAACAAAGTTTTGCAATGTTTTTGTCAGGTCTGCTCGTCACTGTTCATCCTGACCCCTCTTCTTCAGGGATGTCTTCTCTACCCTCAGAAAAATGTTTAATCCAATTGCAACTACCATTTTTTCATGGCATTATCCCCATAAACTTGAACTGACATGTCCCTGATTTCACTTCCACTCTTGTCAAGTTTAACAAGAAATTTAATGTTTGTTTTTTCCTCTAATTTAAGTTCCAACATTCTTATGAAGACAGTTCTGAAGGCCATTCCAGAAAGAGAGTTCCAAAATTGCTTTGATGGGTGGACTAGGCACTGGAGTCAGTGCATAGCTATCCAAAGGGAGTAATTTGAAGGTGCCCATGGTGACACCTAGCAATAAGGTACGTAGCACTTTTTCTAGGATGAGTTTGCGAATTTAATTGTCACACCTTGTAGATTTATCTTGAGGTTGTTAAAGCAATACAAAATTACTGAAGAGTTACTAAGTGTTGTCCATCCTAAAATATTTACTCACTATTGATTCTATTTATTTATTTATTGTTTTTTGTTTGTTTGACTCAGAGTCTCATTCTGTTGCCCAGGTTGGAGTACAGTGGCATGCTCATGGCCACCGCAACCTCAACCTACTAGGCTCAGGTGACCCTTCCACCTCAGCTTTCAAGTAGCTGGGACTACAGGCATGCACCACCATGCCCAGTGAATTTTTTATTTATTGTAGAAATGAGGTCTCACCAAGTTGCCCAGGCTGGTCTTGGACCCACAGCCTCAAGTAATACTCTCACCTCGGCCTCCCAAAGTACTGGGATTACAGGCGTGAGCCACAGCACTCAACCTATTTATTTATTTTTGAATCATAGTCTCGCGCTGTCATCTAGGCTGAAGTACAGTGGCATGCTTACAGCCACCACAGCCTCAACCCTCTGGACTCAGGTGATTCTTCCACCTCAGCCTTCCAGGTAGCTGGAACCACAGGAATGCACCACCATGACTGACTAATTTGATTTATGTATTTTAGAGACAAGGTCTTTCCAAGTTGCCCAGACTGGTCTTGAACCCCTAGACTAAGGCAATCCTCTTGCCTCCACTTCCCAAAGTGCTGGGATTACAGGTGTGAGCCCTAACTCCAGGGCTCTATTTTTTGTTATAGTCACTATTTATAAAATTCTAAAGAATGCCAGTACCTTGGACACAAAACTAATGCTACTAATAAAACAACCAACAACACACATATCCCAGTGAGGTAAATGTGTCAGAACTTACGTGGCTTCTATGGACTATTTGCTAAGGTGATAGTTTTGCTATGATATTAGCATCAGCATCAACACACAGACCTTTACTAACTCCGGTGAGGAAACTGAATGCTCACATAGTTGTGTTGCCAATGTCTGAGAGGCTGATACTCACGAGGGTGCACATGTGCTGAACATTGCTGATGTGGGACACAAAGTCATCAGGCTCCTAAGTTTGGAAAACTGGACACAACGGTTTCCTCCTGTTCAGCAAAAAACATCCTTTTGCCTTCACCAGACACTATCACTTACATAATGAAAGAAAAGGAGAAAACAATGGAACTAGCCAGCACCCAATCAGCATCCCATTAACTGTCTCATTGCTTATCAGTAAGATCTGAAGGACATTTGGATCTAGTAGTCAGAAAGACTGCACACATGCTACATACTGACAACCATGCAGGACTCCTGAATTCTCATTAGCACTACATTCAGTGTATCACAAGATACCAAACTACACATAAAGATCCACATACACCCTTAAGGAATTCTACAAGGTTGTCGGACTAATCAGTTCATCCAAAACCTAATATTTAGTTAATGAACAGTTTACCTACAATTCATCCAGTTTTGAGTGTTTTTGCATCTATTTGATCTAAAAATGAAATGAAATAAAAAGTTTTAAAAAATCAGGGGAGGGGCACATAATATCACTAAGGGTACCTAATCCTAAACAGGGGAACTGAGAACCAGTGGGAGCCCAAACCCCACCTCCATGTAGACCACTTATGTACCTAATCCTGACTTGTACCCCACATCCTTAAAATAAAATAAAGACAGGGAAAAAGAGTAAAATTAAAAAATGAAAAGTCTTTAGCCAACTGCAAATATATACCTAAGGTGAAATTACTTAAACCTTAAAAAATAATTCAAGTTGGTTAAGAAACAAAAGGGATGATTGTTAGGCCCGGGGAGAAGCTGCATTTACCTTTTCCCATCTGCCCCTTTACCCACTGATCCCCTATGCGCCCCTCCACCCTAAACCCACAAACCACATACCAGCTTTCTGAAACCTGCCGGCAGCTGCTGAGAAGGGCCAGACAGAAACTTTCCAGCCCACATCGGATGCGACGCTTTGTCTCCCCGATTCACTGCCGCTCCCAACACCCTCCCCAAATACAGCACCCTTAAAAACCCAAGCCTGCCCCTCCTTAG